CCTGTCCCGTCCCAGGGCCCCGCCCCCACCCACCCCGGCTCTCTGCGGGTCACAGGGACTGCAGCACCCACTGTCCGTCTGCGGCCGCGTCCGGGTTCGAACCAGGCTTGAACTCAGCCGGCTGTGCAGACCCCCAGGCGGGCACCCTGCGCTCCGCAGATCCTGGACGGGGCGGGGCCGGGGGCTCGCCCGCCACGCAGTTTGTGGTTTCAAGGGACAGGGTCCCTGAGTCTCCCAGGCTGCCTGGAACTCGCGATCCTCCTGCCTCAGCCTCTGAAGTAGCTGCTCTGGCTTGAACTTGTCAGTCTCCTCTCCCCCGCGGCGGAGTTAGGGTTAGGGTCACAGCGAGCTGAGCTCCCTGGGGTCTGTTCCTGGAGGGAGCATGACACGTATTTCACCCGTGACCACTCCCGGACCCCTTGGGCCATGACGGCCTAGGCAGCTTCCCAGGGCTGGGGGCCCAGGAACAGCCCTGAGCCCTGGCAGGGCAGCCTAGCTCAGCTGTGGCCGGCCTGGGCAGGGAGAGCCCCCAGGTCCCGACTGTGGGGGCGGGTGGGCCGCTTTAGTGCAGGCTGGGTTCCAACCAAGCCCTCTCCTCTTCCACTCCCTGGGCTCTTCTGGGAAAGGGCAGAGTGGTCTTAGGGCCACCATGGACCTGCACCAGAACCTGCACCAGACCCCAGTGTCTCTGCCCCCAGGGTGCCAGGGACCAAGGAGGGGCGGCCTTGCTCTGTGATTTTTTTTTTGTACCAGGAATGAACTCAGGATGTTGTGTTTGTGTGTGTATGTACCAGACAGAGACAAACAGACAGACAGACAGAGGACTTCCATCACCTCTTCCGGGCCCAGGGTGTCCGTGTGGCCCAGCCTCATGCAGCCTGGTCCCAGGGCACAGACTGACTTACCAGCCTCCCCGTCTTTCTGGACCTCAGCTGCCGCCCGCCCTGCGGGGAGGCAAGGGTGAGCACTGCAGACAGGCTCTGGCAGGGTCAGCTGGGCCCAGGTCTGCTGCTGTCAGGGGCGGAAGGGCTGCTGCCGAGGCCTAAGGGGGCTGGGGCGGGAGCACACCCAGGGAATCCGTCGTGGCACACATCTAGATGTGCTGGTTACAACTCAGGCTTACAGAAGGGCAAGGGCGCGTGTGCATGGTGGTGCACACCTGCTGGGAGGCTGAGGCAGGAGGGTTGTAAATTCAAGCCCAGCCTGGGCAACTTAGCAAGATCCTGTGTCAAAAATGAATGAATGAAAGGATGAATATGTAGTTTAGTGTGAAGGCCTAGGCTCTTTTCCACCAAAATAAATACATAAATATTTTCATTAAATAAATAAAGCCATGGAGGGTACCTTTGGCTCTACATGAAGAGCACACATTCAGGGCTGGCAGGCAGCTCACAGGTCGCGCACACTGTGCAGGCTCTGGGCCCTGGGCTGGGTCCTCAGTGCACGCGTGGGAACACCCAGGACCGGAGCCCGGCCTGTTCGGCGTTCTCCACCTGCTGCCCAGAACCCCCAGCGCCGCCCAGCGCACCCCTGTGCCCACAGCCCATGCCTGTTCAGACCTGTCCCTGCCCTGCAACAACTACAGCAGGGGACAGGGCCACTGCCAGGGAGGGGAGTCTGGCTGCGGCCCCCAGGCTGAGGCCCAAGGCGGCTGGTGTCCTTTCAGCCGCTCCCTGCCACGCACAGGGTGGAAGTGTGCTCGCCGTACCATCCTTGCCTCCTGGCCTGGGTTCCTGTTCAAATGACTCCCCACGCTGCGCCCCGCGGCCAGGTCAGGACTGGGCACCACCCCACCCTGTGTGTCTCAGTGACCGCCCTGCCCCCTGCTGAGTGTCACCCTCAGACGCCCGAGTCTCAGTCTGAGCTTGCACTTCCTGCACCAGGTTCCGAGGTCAGTGAGAGATTTTGCTGGGGTCAGCGGGGGCCTCATGGGCCTAGGCAGACGCCCTGCCCCGAGCTGCACCCTGCCTGCTAGCACCAAACTTTCAGAGCCGTCCCGATTCTCAGCAGTCACTTCACTGCGAGGACTGCGCTTGTGCCTGGCTTTGTGGAGTGGGTCCCTGCGTTCCTAGGGCGGGTGGCTGGTCAGGGCCGCCTCACCTTCCCCCTGGACAGGTCCCCAGCTCTGCCGCCACGCTGTGGGGGCTCTGGCTGCCTAGGACCTGCAAGGAAGCAGCCCTGCCAGGAGGTGACGCTGGGAGGCGGCCAGGGCACATACCGTGCTGCACAGGAGGTGGGAAGCCTGGTCTTCTCCCATTGGGAACGCCATTCTCTGCGGTGCCTGGCTCAGCCACACCGGGCGCCTGCCCCTCCTGCGCCTCAGCTGCCTCCAGAAGCCGAGGCCACCCACCCCGCCCTCAGCCGGCCCCATACCCTACACTCCTCACCTTCCCCCTACACTGCACTGTGACAAGGACGAGCTCCGAGGCCCACAGGGAACCGGGAGACCAGACCACATGGTGCAGTGTCCATCACATCTGCAGAGTGTCCTGTCCTGGGCAGGTGTCACTTGCATTCTTCAGACAGAGAAACTGAGTCTGAGGGGGCCCAGCCACCAGTCCTGAGCCACCGTGGACCCAGGTCCTCTGGGCTTGGCTTCCTTGGCTTTGGTGCTGGGGATGAGCCCCGGGCTCGGGTGTGTGAGATGTGAGCTCTGCCCCGAATGCAGCTCCTCAGGCAAGAAGCGTGTGAGCTCAGGCTGCACGGTGCCGGCCAAGCTGCAGTGGACTCCCGCAGGACTGCATGGACAGGACAGCGCGTGGCCCAGGGCCCACTCCAGGCGGGGGTCCTGCGGGCCGGGTCTGCCCCAGCGGGCCTGGCAGCCGATGCTGAGCAGCTGCGGCCCCGCCACAGGCCTCCAGGATGCTTCCTGGCCCTGCTCCCGGGCCGCACCCTGAAGAGCAGCTGGAGGAGGGCCCCACAGGTGCCCGGCTATTTTTATGTGATCATCTGCCCCTACAGTAGGCCGGGTGGGTGGCAGGAATGCTAAGCAGGCGGGGCTGGGACAGCTGGGGACCCCGCCCCGCTCCGGCAGCGGCCAGGAAGGTGAGGAGGGAGGGCTGGTCCCCAGCAGAGCGGTGTGTGGGGCCGCGTTCCTGTCCTCATCCACTTTGGGGCTGGCCCCGAGGCCAGGCTGGGTCCCCAGTGGGGAGGATTTCACACAGACAGGAGCGGGAAGCCTGGTGTGCCACCCTCCGCCTGCTTGTGCGGGCCAGATCTTGACGACGTGACTGCTTCCCAAAAAGAGAGGGGAAAAAGAAAGGGTGTGTTTGTGGCAGGCTCATGGGAAAGGTCTTCATCTGCCCTTTCCCAGGGACAGTGGGAAAATACAAGGGACCTTTAGAAGGCATGGCGGTGAATTTCTCCGCAGTTTGCTTCTCCTCCTGTGGGAACTGCACAGGCTCCCTGTGTAATAAGAACAACAGCCCCAGGGCAGCGGGAGCGGGAGCCCTCCAGCCCTGGTGTGGCCTGGCAGGTGCTGCTGGGCTCCAGGCCCCGGGGACAACAGTAATGCCTCTCTCTGCCAAACTATTGTGAAAATCAAATACAATCATTTTCAAGCCATGGAAGTGTTTTGTAATTTAGAATGCATTTAAAATGCTAAAGAAGGTTTTTGTTTCTCTTGGAGACAGGGTCCCCTGAGTTGCAGTCTGGCCTTGAGCTTCTGGGAGCCAACAGTCCCGCTTCAGCCTCCCCTCTGGGACTATAGTTCATACAGCGACTTGAAGAACTGGTCTGAGCAGTGGCTGACCCCGCAGAGCTCACGGGCTCTCTGTGTGAAGTGAGGGTGGGCGCTGCCCCTGGTGGCCCCGTCCCTTCCCGGCTCTCGGGCCTGCGGAGGGGGACCACCCTCCCGGCTCTTCCTAGAGCTTGAGGCCTGGTGGGTGCAGAGGGCGCTGGTGCCCGACGGGTCCTGGCACGGGTCTGCGTCCCGCCCCTCGGTCTGCCCCGTCTGCACTCAGTAGTCGCCAATGTGGGCATCTCGCTCTCTCACGGGTGCTGTGTGGACGCCGTGGAGCAGCCGGTCACCCCAGAGCAGCCGCCTGTGCCCGGGAGAGCAGCGGGTGCTCCACGGCGCAGAGCGGCTCCCGTTCCAGAGGGCTGGCCAGGCAGTGGATGCTGGCTCTGGGGAGGCCGCTGCGCTGAGCGGTCCTGGGCGGCCTGAGTCCCCACCGGGGCTGCTCCAGCCGCCACTCGGTCTGCGGTGCTGCCGGTGACGGGGCGTGGCTGGCAGCTGCCCGTGCTGTGGTATGGGACCATGGGAGGACACAGGCGCGGCACAGGCATCAGGCCAGGGGATGCCCAGGGCCAGGAGAAGGTGCCTGGGGCCAGACAGCCTGGCCCAGGCAGGCAGATGCCCTGCCCAGCACCTCAGGGCCAGGCTGAGCTGGCGTGCACGGCAGGAGGGAGCCACCCCCCATCGGGTCCCGTCCTCTCAGGCTGTGACCTGCTTTATTTTGCTATTGTCTGTTTTTTGCTTTTTTGAGGCAGAGTCTCGCTGTGTAGTTCAGGCCAGCCTTGAGCTCTTGGTGGTTCTCCTGCCTCAGCCTCCTGAATGCTGAGATTACAAGCATGCGCCACCATGCCTGGCTGCTATTGTCTCTGGTTTTGTCATTTTCCACAGTTGTGTCCACACACTGTTCCTGAATAGATCCTAAGCTGTTTGTTTGTGTTAACGTCCTCGGCCGATGACGCAGCTCAGCGTCAGAGCGCTGTCAGTGTGCTTGCGGCCCTGGGCCCAAGGTCGACACCGCAGAAATATCTCCGTCCTATTTTACACCTCTGCCCTCATTTCACCCTTGTGAAGCTGTGGAAGTCACATCATTTCTGCTTCACAGACGAGGAACAGGTCTCTTGGATGTTCTAAACCCCAGGGTCACACAGCCAGCAAGATAGCAGAGTGGCTCCTGAGCGGGCAGAGCCTGGTTCTTGAGGAAAATCCATGCCCAGCAGACCCAGGGGGACTTCCATTTTTTGGCTTTTTGAAATCCCTAGCTAGGCCAGGCATAGTGGTGCATGCCTGTAATCCCAGCACTCAGGAGGCTGAGGCAGGAGGAGTGTTGCAAATTGGAGACCAGCCTGGGCTAAAAGTGAGCTCAAGGCCAGCCTGAACTGCATAGCGAGACCCTGTCTCAAAAAGGACAAGGAAAAAAAAAAAAAAACAACCCTAGCCAAACGTTCCAAGACTGCTCTTCAAGTGCTGAGCGGAGTACGGCGATCGAACCGCTCTGTGAGCCCGTCCACCTCACTGGAGGACGTGTACAGTGATGGTCTCTCTCGTGGCTCTGTGGGTCCCAGCTCAACACTGCTGGGAACCGGATCCGACTCTGGGCCTGGAGGCCGGACGCCGCCTCGAGATGGGCTCTGGCGATGGTGCAGCTCGTGCACCGGGGCTCAGCTCTGCGCTGTACACGGGGACCCTGCCCGCACGTGCCCTTGCCTCGGGGACAGCACAAGCACACAGGGCGGAGGCCGGGCGGTCCGGAAGGCGGTCAGCTCGGCCTGGTCCTCGCGGGGTCACGGGCCTACGGCAGAGTGGGCCGAGTGGTGTCCCGGCCACCCGGGAGGGCCCAGCTGCTCACCATGCTGGCTCTGGCCTGGGCCATGCTAGGCCGCTGGGGAGGCCACCAGCTGCCCCTGCCAGGAACGAGAGAGCCCGCGAGGCCTCAAGCTGCACCAGTGTGGCCGTCACCCAGGGGACTTGTCTGCACGGCGGCCCACGTGTGTCCTCCTTCTCAGGTCACAGGTCACAGGGTCACTGTGCCTGGCCCGGCCATGCAGCACCAGGACGTCCCCCTCTGACCTGGCCAGCGAGGACCTGGCCTTGGCAGGTCTGTGAGACCCCATGTGAGGGGCACAGCTGGTGGGCGTCTGGGGGGGCTGCTGGGCATACAGTGAGCCGGAGTGCAGAGCAACTCTCAGTGGGGCAGATCGGGGGGCAGCTCCACTGCTCCCCAACTCGGGGCCTCGCCCAGGCCTGGGGCTCAGAGTGGAGGCGGCCTGCGCACTGTCCTGGTGCGGGGCTCATCCGGTGCTCCTGAGAGCAAAGGTGGCAGCAGAGGTGGGGAGCAGGGGCATGGCCCAGGTTTTTTCTGCACAAGCCGCTTGGAGGGCATCAAGGGGTCAGCGCAGGCCCCTTCATCCCGGCCGCCCAGGGCCAGCTGGCCGGGGACCCTGGCCCAGCCCCAGCCAGAAGGCCTGCTTCTCCCAGGAGGAGGAAGAGCTGAGGCCTAGGCCATAGATGGAGAATGGGATTCGAAAAAGGCAGAGACAAGGGTCCGGCACCGGCTGCATGAGCTGCAGTCTGGCTCGGGACATGCGGTCCCAGCTTCTGGAGGCCCCCGAGACCTCACCACACCTGTATGGGGCACCAGGACCCTGTACTCAGCACGGCGACATTCCCCCGGGGTGTCTGGACGGGGGCGGGGAGGGGCACGGGGACCAGCACCCGTGTCCCCAGAGCAGCGGCAGGGCGGGGCACCACGTCTTTCCCTGCACTGTGAGTCTAGAGAAGCGTGTGGGTGCTCTGGTCCCTGAGGACACATAGGACCCGCGGCCTGTGTGGGGATGCAGGCCCTGAGCGGCACCCTAGGCACCCTAGGCGTCTGGGCCGCTAGCTGGCTGTGGGCAGCGGAACTGAGATCAGCACGGAGCAGGTGTCGCAGCTGGAGAGCTGGTGCCCACCCCACCAGAGGCTGTGTAGGGGACAGCGACTCAGCGTATCATTTTAAGGTGGAAGAATTCTAGTCTTAATGCAAGCCTCAAAGTATGTCTCGAGAAGCATCCCAGAGGGGCTGTAAAGAGCTAACTCTGCAGTCCTGACTTTGGCCCGGAATGCTTCTCCAAAGACAGAGCGCACCCGGGCCCAGATAACCACCTATGGCCCTGCCTGGGCTGTTCCATCCCTTCCCTGGCCCTAGATAAACACTGTAACCATAAAGGAGATGTGTGGTTATCATAGGGGGACATACAGAACAGAGTGCAGAAAGTATGTATCGTGTGGCTGGGCTCATGACCAGGGCCTGACCCGGTCACGTGGCACAAGGAAAACAACGTGTGGCCAGAGCTACAACATTCCAATGTGTTACCATGGAAACCAAAAATGTGTATAAGCTGGGAACAAAAGTAGGCTCCTTGCCCACTTCCCTGACTGGCAAGTGGGAGGAAGGGTGGCTAGCCTCAGATTAAAGCTCCGCTTGTTCTGAATAGAGTCTTTTTGGTTTCTTGTGGAATACAACCCAAATTCTGCCGTAACAGCTGGTCCCCAGCAGCAGGGTGTCACTGCCAGGCAGCCAGGCTCCTACTGCTGTTCCTGACTTGTCCAGGGCCCGCCATCTCCCGAGTGGCCCCTTTGCCCTCCCTCCTGCAGGCACTGCAGGGAAAATTCCTTTTTTGGAAGTGACAGCCCTTCCCGAAGGCCAGACTCCCCTTGGAGGGGAGGGTGCAGCCTGAGCCCAGCGGGTAGGGAGTGGCTGGTCTTCCAGCGCGTGCTGGAGTCCAAGCCAGGGTGGGAGGGTGTCAGTGAGCTCTGGCAGGGCTGGACGGGACAGCACAGGGGCAGCCACGATGCCTCACGCCCAGGGGCTTGAGCTGCGGCCAAAGTGTAAGGAACTTGTGATCGTCCTGCCTCAGCCTCCCAAAGTGCTGGGATTACACACATGTGGGACCTGGCACGGCTGGGAGATGAGGAACCTAAACAGGAGCACTGTCCTCAGAGTCTGCTCCCTCTACTCTGGAAGCAGCACCCAGGTCCATGCTGGGGTGACCCTATGTCCACTGGGGGGGGACGGACAGGCAGGTCTTCCATGCCCCACGCTCCTGCCAGTGATGGTGCCCAGCGTCCCATCCAGGCATCAAGTGGCAAGGGCAAAGGTCACGCTCCAAGGATGCCAAGCGCAGGCCCTTAAGTTTCAGGGCCTGTGTGAGCTCTTTAAAAGCCCACCTTTACGCTGGGAGTGGTGGTGCATACCTGCAGTCCCAGGCGTGGGGAGGCTGAGGCAAGAGGATCACAAAGTCAAGCTCAGCTTGGGCAACTTCATAACTTAGCCCCTGTCTCAAATAAATCTAACTTATATGTACGGCAGCCTAATTCCTGAGCCTTGGAAGCAGCCCACACGTCCACCCACAGCCGAATGGGTAAAGACAGTGTGGGTTTACACCGTGGGGCCCAGCGGTGCCTTGGAGACGGGTGGACTTGAGTGTTGCAAGGGAAATGGATGCGCCCGAGGCCGTGACGCTAACGGGATAAACCACACACAGCTTGAGTTCATGCAGCTTCAGGGAGATCTTTCCGGTGGGAGGGGGCGAGGGGCGGACGCAGGAACTGAGATGCGTGCGTCCGTGCACCAGCTCCCGCGAGGGGCCGTGACGTGCTGCAAATGTGGACTGAAAAAATAAAAAATAAGGAAAGGGCCGAGGACGCAGCCCAGGGCGAGCGTCCTGGGTTCAGTCCCCAGAGCCACAGAAGCAAGCGAGCGAACGCCACAGAGAGGGAGACCCTGGAACGCGGGACCCGGCGCACCGACGCTGGCAGCGGGCGTCTCCGCCTCGGCTTCTCGGGGCGCTCCCCCTGCCCCCCCCCCCCCCCCCCCCGTGGCACGGGAGCACGGGAGCGTCACAGGCGCAGAGGGTCCTCGGGCGCTTTATTGAGCCGGCAGGCAGAGGGTGGTGCCAACCCGGGACCGGGCCTCAGCCTCCCACCAGGCCCGCCTGTCCCAGCAGGGCCGCGGCAGCTGCAGCGGGGGACAGGGCTGCCCGGAGGCGCGGCGCCCCTATCTGTGCGTGAACCGGAACCAGCCCCAAGCCTGCGACGTGGGGGCCGCTGGCTCCCCCGTGTCGTCCAGCACGCGCAGCATGTAGGAGCTGGAGTAGAGGAGGAACTGGCCGGTCACCTGGGCAGCGTAGGACAGCAGGCGCAGCAGGCTCCTGCAGTGGACATGCGCGTCAGGCCGGCGAGGTGGGCACGGTGCCCCTGCCTGGGGGCCTGGCAGGCCGAGGGGCGGCCCCCACCCGGGGCCACGGTCCAGGAACAGAGCAGAGCGGCAGCCTGGGGAAAACCCCGCCACACCCCTGCTGGGGCTGCATGAGGCTCAGGAAGGCAGGCGCCGCCCCGCCTGGCCGCTGCGTCCCGCCGAGCCTGTGCTGTGCAGACTGGAAAGCAAAACCCTTGTCTGCAGTGCTCCTGTTCCCCACAAGCCCAGTGCAGTGTGGAAAGGCGGGGGAGGCGGGGGCTGCGCCCCAGGATGGACCGCCCCCCCCCCACAGCAGGGCTGGCTGCGCCTCGGGGGTTTCCTGATGTGGGATTCCCGGGAGGCCACCTTCTTCACAGCTTCTAAGCCCCTGGGTCCCCTGCCTTGCTTTACGTTAAAGCAGCCGGGCACAGGGGCCCACGCCTGGTTTCAGGCCCTGGAGAGGCGGAAGCAGGAGGACTGCAAGTCTGAGCACAGCTGGGGCAATTTAGCAAGATCTGTCTGAAAATAAAATTTGAAGAGGGCCGGGGGAAAGCTCAGCGGTGCAGCCTCTGCCTGTTCCGCGTGAGGCCCTGGCCTGATCCCTGTACTTAAAAAGAAATAAACTGAGCCAGCGCTGTCTGGGTGTCAGGGCCCCAGCGCAACAACAGTGAGGCAGCCCATGATCCCCTGCCGGTCAGGAGCAGCCCCGGGCGCAGCTGGCCTTGCGCGGGGAGCAGGTGCCACCCCAGGGCCTCTGTCCCCTGTGCTGCCCTCACAGGGACACAGGGACAAGGGACTTGGCCCCGGCACGACCTGTGGCTTCGGGCAGTGGCCTCTCCCAGCCACAGGGCTTGGAGCTCTGCTGTCCACGGAGGCTCCGAAGCCCCGCACCGCCCTCGCCACGTAAGGACGACGCCGGCTCCTCGTGCCCCGGCTGTGGCAGGAGCAGAAGGACAGGGTCCTTAGGACCCCAAGTCACGCACAGGCCACCGTGTCAGCTCCGCGGCCCCGAAGGTTCCCAGCTTGTGGTGCTGCTGCCAAGGGGCCCCATGGGCTACCTCGAGGGGGCAGGGCCCTTGGCCCTGCTCTTGTGTCCTGGGCACTTGCCCTGTCATGCTGTGCTGTCTGCCACAGGTGCCATGGTGGGGCCACCTGGCCACGGACTGGAACTTGGAATGCTGCGGCCACAAGGAGCCTGTCCTCCTGTGGGCTATGTCCCTCGCGCATCTGGCAATGTGGACCCTGACCATGCAGGACCCAGGCGCCATGGGCACTGGCTTCCTAAGCTTCTGCCCAGCGTGGGATGCCGAGGTTCCCCGCATTGAGGAGGAGGGAGGAGCCATGCTGCGTGGTCACTGTCACCGGGGCGGTGACAGCAGAGCACACGGGGCGGGTGTGGCCCCACCCAGACAGCCCGGTCACCATGCCCAGCCACAGGGCTTGGAGCCCAGGTCTGTGTGTTGCAGCAGGGGGTCAGCCCAGGCAACTGCACACGCCCGGACCTGTGACTGACTGATCGTGATGTGCCTGCGGCCTGCGGCCTGCCAGGGTGGTGACGTGGCCTCCTTCCTTCCCGCTGTTACCCAGCTGGGACTCCGCTGGTACCGAATGGTTCTGCCTCTGCTGTGTCTGGAGACTGAACTCGCTGGGACCGTGTGGGTCCTGGGGCGCCCGGCAGGGACAGTGGGGCGGGGCACAGAGGGTGGGATGGCCACCCGTCCACCGGGCTTGCAGACCCTGCTGTGGCCTCCGCAGTTACCTCAGCATGGCCTTGACGCTCGTGCAGCGGATGTCGTAGGACACCGAGTACATCTCGTACAGGGTGGCCTTGACGTTGAGGCAGCCCAGGAAGTCCTTGGGGTGCAGCCTGTACAGGTCCAGGGTGACTCTGGCGATGCCTGACCGCTGCGGCTGCCGGGCTGGCGCGTACCTGCTGGCCTGAGTGACAGCGGGTGTCAGGAGCAGCCCCCATGTGGGTGCTGGCTACATGCTGTGAGTGGGGTGGGCACCAGCCTCCCCGGCACGTGGTGGTGACCCAAGCCAAGTTTTCAGCAGACCGCGCACTCCCTGTGGCCGCGTCCAACCTGGAACCCAGGGTCGGCCCACCTGTGCCAGAGCTAGCTTTGGCCTGGATTTTGTTTTTGCGTTTTGGTAGTGGGGACTGAACCCAGGTTCTGTGCCTGAGCCATATCCAACCCCATTTTTGAGACAGGATCTCACTAAGTCATTCAGTTGCCCCAGCTGGGCTCCCAATTGCGATCCTCCTGCCTCAGCCGCCCAGAGTGCTGGGAGTAGAGATGGGCCTGGACCGGAGCCCTGCTGTGCGGTGCCTGGAGGTGCTCCTGCCTCAGGTGCCGAGGCCAGCTCCCAGGGTCCGCCAGGCCACCTGGACACGGTGACCAGCACAGCCTCCCCAGTGACTGTCACACAGTCTGTCCAGCACTGCTTCCATTTCACAAGCGGCACATGGCCCTCAGGGGAGGGCAGCATGGTCCGTCTGGGTGCCCCCCGATTCCTGTAGCCCAGAGGCTGCGGCATAGCAGCCGGGAACGCCGCTCCTCTGTCTAGGCCGCCCTGCAGCAGTGCCGGCCACAGCTCTAAGAGGGGAGGACAAAGGGCCGCCCACCAGCCTGGGAGGCCACTGCGCTCAGAGCCGGCTCAGTGGGGACAGCGTCCGAGGGTGACACGGAGTCCCCCGAGGGGCCGCGAGCCTCCGCACGCACCCCACACCTCTCCCCACGCAGGGCATGAGCTGATGCTGCCGGGACCTGCTGCCCCCAGCCAGGCAGTCAGCGCACGGGAGGACACGGTCAGGCAGAAGGGCCTCCCTCCCTCCCTCGCCTGCCGCCGCAGCTCTTACACCAACTCCAGACCTCTGAGGGCCAGCGCCGCCGCGGACACCCCGCCCTTGGGCCTGCAGAGGCACCCACAGCTTGGGAGTCACAGTGGGTCTTCACCCCGGCTTGCGCTGCGACCTGGCAAGGGTGACACCCGGTGGCCGGGCGTGGGTCTGCAGCCAGGCGCCCGGCCCACGCCGAGAGAGGCTGGAGTCTGAGCCCAGAGGGGACCCCGGCTGCCTGTGGAGGGCGCTGCCCCCCGAGCTCCGCCGTCCCTGCCTCGGACCCCAGCAAGCCCCAGCCCCAGCTCCTGTCACCCTGCCCTGTCACCAAGTGTCTTGTTGACAGCACAAACCCTCCCACAGTGCCACTGTCCTCTTGCCGCCGTGACAAGCTGCCAGGGCAGAATGGCTTGGAGCCATCTGCATCTACACCTGGGGGCTGTGAGGGGCATTGGGCCCCTGGTCCTCTCCTCTGCAGCCAGTCTGGCAGGGCTCAGACGACACTGGCTGGCCTGGGTAGCTGGCGCCCCCACCCGGTCCCTTGCTAGTGCCTGTGCCAGGGAGCCAGCGTCCACAGGTCCCAGGACACGATGCCCGGGGGATGGCTGCTGTCCCTGGGAACACACGGTCCTCAGCCCCGGGAGGGCAGGTGTCCACCCCTCAGGAGAGGGTCTGCAGCCCCTGCCTCAGAGAGCCACCTGTCACCCAGCGTTACAGGGCGACCTCGTCATGGGCCACTGGGGTCCATGGGTGAGAGGACCCCCCAGGAGCTGCCACCACCAGGCTCCTTTGCTCTCTGCTTTCAGAAATGTGGCCACCCTGTCTGTCTGTCTGTCTTTCTTGTTCAGACAGGATCTACAGGGCTTGAGTGATCCTCCTGCCTCAGCCTCCTCAGTAGCTAGGACTGCAGGTGTGCGCTGCTCTGCCAGGGTCATCTTCCTTCAGGGAAGGTCGTGAAGGTGTAAGAAGATGCTTTAATATTCTGCTTTGCTTTTCTAGGTGTTTTTTGGTGGGGAGGTTTTGAGCTATGTGACCTATGGTTTCTCCAGGCTGCATTCTTCCCCACTTCCTGAAGCTCTACCCGCACTGCTGTGTCAGGCTCCAGAGTGTTTCTTGGAGCTCGCAGGCTCAGTCCTGGGTCTGAGGTGGTGCTGGGACCCCTGACAGGGTCTGAGGATGCTGGAGCCAGACCAGGACCTGGACCTGGACCTGGACCCTAAGATGTGGGCCCAGGCACCTTTCTCTTCAGGAGCTGATACTCCGGGGTGGGCACTCACAGACAGGTGCACAGCCCACCTGGCCGTGCCCGGCCAACCCACCCTGGCTGAGGACGAGGACAGTGCGTGATCACTGGTCAGGTCTGCTGCTGCCCAGCCATCACCTGTGCCCCAGGCTGCCTTGTCTAGGGACACCACGCTGCCTAGGGACAGCCAAGTGAGGGCCTGGCCAGGGACAGGGAGGGCGCAGAGCCACGGGCCAGGGCCAGGTCAGCCTCTCGTGGGCCCAGCGTCCCCCCGTCCTGCGCTGGTGAGCACGTGGCCGTCACTCACCGTCGTCCACTTCTGCCCGTCTTCCAGGACCATGAAGTGTGTATTGTCGCCCAGCGTCTGGAAGAATTCCTCCGTGTCCACCACGGTGCCGTCCTCCTCCAGCACCAGTGTAACCAGCCCTGCCGTGATGACCAGCGCATCCAGGGCCTGGGGGCAGTGAGCAGGGAAGCACATGAAGAGGGGCTCCCCGGGGGCCCCTGCTGGCGTGCACCAGGTCACAGCACTCGTGGGCCAGGCTGGGTAAAAGGGCACAGAAGTTCACAGTCTGCATCTTTTCTCAGAAAGCGATTTAGGGGTTTAACGGACCCATCTTCCTGAGAGCTGTGAGAAGGGTGACGTGTCGTTAGGGTTTCTGCAGCCACCTGCTCATGCGCACAAACGCACGGGCAGCCCTGCGCGAAGGGTGCTGCTCCCTCCACGGCCACGAGTCCTGTCTTTTGGGGAGTCTGGGTGGCCTGTTTGGTGGCCTCCACGGTTTTAGTTTAATAAATGTTCTATCCTGGTCTTCAGGAGGTATGACAGGAAATGGGATAAATATTTAAACATTTTTAAAAAGGTTGTTACAGTAACAGATCCATTGGCATTAGCCCCCTTGAAATCCTCCCCTCACTGTGAGCACACTCGTCTCAGTGTCCCTGCCGCTTTCTGCAGCAGCTCTGGAGTCCTCTTTCCTGAGTGTCTTTAGCTGTGCTGTCCTGGCTGCCTCGATGTCCTGAATCGATTCAAAACACTTCCCTCTCATGGTCATGCTGACCTTGGGGAAGAGCCAGAAGCTGCACGGTGCCGGATCCGTGGATAAGGTGGCTGAGGACACACCGTGATGCTTTTACAAGCTGCCTTTCTGTTGGGTGGTGCTCAGCAGCAGCATTCACCGTGCTTTCGGTCATACCGCGTAAGGACACGGTCTCCAGAGCTGCCGCAGAAAGTGGCGGGACGATGGGATGGGTGTGTTTGAGGAGAGGGAGAGGGTCTTGAGGGAGGTTCCCGGCAGTTTTTTACTGTAACGCATTTTAAAAATTTAATTATTTAGGACCGGGAATGGAGCTCATAAACTCGTGCTTGCCAGGCAGGCTCTGTGCCACTGAGCTATACGCCTGGGTCACATTTTTAAAATGTGACCATTCAGTGTATACTGGGATCACCCCTTGACATAACCAAAAGCAGACGTCTCAGGTCCCTATGTTGTCCTTGTCAAAGAAACACGGTGGCACCATCAGCCGATGGCCGGCTCCCCGTCTCGTGACCCTGTCTTTTGGGGCACAAAGATTCAGTGTGTTTCCTCAGCTGACTTAGACCCTGTTAGCTGTGAGAAATGTCTCCGCTGGGCCCTGGAGGCCCAGGGAGATGCAGGCTGGCTCTGTCCCCTTGCCGTCAGCGCGGGCCGCAGTACCTTGGTGAGGAGCTCCTGCAGGCTGCTGGCCATCACCCCGCGGCGGCTGCTGCGGTCGGAGTTGGAGACGCGGAAGGGGCGTGGGGGCTGCATGAGCGGCGTGAGCAGGACCTTCCTGGTCTGGGCGCCCACGAAAGTCAGGGGCCTGGACACAGGTGAGAGCACAGAAACGGGAACTCCAATGTTATTTTAAAACAAGAGTCTTCAGGCAGAGGAGTGAAATGCACAACAGTGACGCAGTTTTAATATTTACATCTGAGAGGAAGACCGGCATGCATGGGACTAACCAGAAATGACACGGGCACGAATCTCCGAGGGACAGACATGGAGCACCTGGAACGGGGGGCACAGGGTCCTTGTTCCTGCTTTGCTAGGACGTTTGAGGTCCTTGCGGAAACATCCTGAGTTCGGCCTGCATGCAGGTGTGCACACCTGCAGCCACAACCCAGGGAGACCAGGCCAGGAGTGACCGTAACAGCGGGGTGCTGGGCACCGCGCACACACCGAGGTCTGGAGTGAACGGGAGAAGCCAGGCCTGACAGCACCACTGCTGGTGGGGACAGCGAGAGGGAAGCAGGCCCCGCGCCGTCGTGCTTGGGGCGAGTTCCACACTTTCGAGAGAATTGACCGTGACTTTGTCACTAGGCTAGAATCACCCTAAAATAACACGCAGGCAGGGTCCTTGTTATGTATCTAAATAAGTGGGTAATCTTAGGAATTAGAATTGTTCATATATCGAGTCCCTCATGTCTTTTATGAAGACAGGCCCATTAAAGTCTTAACTCCCTTTTTTCCAAGCCAAGAATAAGGCACAGACACCTGCTAAAGCAGATCTGTATCAGCAAAGAGCTCAAACACTCCCCACTAAAAGCACAATGTGTGAAAAGGAAACTAGCTGGGTGTGGTGGCATGTGCCTGTAATTCTAGCACTGTAGGAGGCTGAGGCAGGAGGATCACGAGTTCCAACCCAGCCTGGGCAACTTATGAGACCCTGTGTAAAACAGAGAGAGAGAGAGAGAGACAGAGAGAGAGACAGAGAGAGAGAGAGACAGAGAGAGAGAGAGAGACAGAGAGAGACAGAGAGAGACAGAGAGAGAACGCTGTACCATAAAACCAAAAGAAGGCAATTTTCTGAGGAAAACGCCAGCCCTTGGTCACTAAATTTTAGTTATCTAGCAACTATGAGAAAGCGGTCAAATGGGAAGTAAAGGGGAAACAGCGGATGAGAAGCTCACAAAGACCTGACTGCAAACGACGCGCACAGAGCACAGCTGGGGCCAGCGCCAGCCCACGCCCACAGCTGCGCTCCGAGACCAGTGTCCACGCCAGGACGCTGGCCCTGCCGCCCCGGCTGACGGCGGGGGTGTGGGGACGGCCCTGGTGAGATACAGACGAGTGAGGCGAAGGCCGTGCGCGGCGCTGCCTCCCGACCGGGACAGTGTCCAGCTCACACCTGCAGGGTGTCGTCCTCAGGCAGCCCGGTGTGACCACCCGCCTGCCCCCTGACCCCCGCACACGGAGCTCTCGCCCGTCCACGCTCCCTGCCCAGCAGGGCCGGAGCAGCCCTGACACAGGCGTCTTTGCTGGCTGTGGCAAGCCTCACCCAGGGGGAATACGGTGTGAATGTGGCGGCTCTGTGCGCCCCACAAGGTCTCCATGACAGGGAGGGCCGGCCCCCGGCCTGGCCAGCAAAGCGCGGTCTGGGCTCAGACTTTGAACACTGGCGAGAATTTAGGGGTTAGTCTCTGCGGCAGTGTCGCTCCAGGCTGCACACACGCACCCTGGCCCTGCAGTGGCCCAGTGTGGGGGGCTCCTTAACCATCACCCACCCAGGAAGGACAGTGCTGCCCACTCCACAGGCTAGAAGCCGAGGTCACCTGGGCAGCGGGGGGCAGAGTGGCCTGACACCACCTCTGTCCGGAGCCAGGGCTTTTGCTCTGTTCTGTTAATTTGGCTTCCACGTTGGCAACTCAGCTGCTCTGCGGCTGAGCGTCCTGAGCCCGCCCTCAGGTCCTCTCCCTGAATGTGCACAAAGTCACCACTCAGCTCGTCCCAGGGAGCAGTGCCAAGGGGGATGTGCCGGGCCGGGCCCCAGCCTGCACCAGCCATCACAATGACCTGGGTGCTAGGCCGGGTGTGGTGGCTCACGCCTGTAATCCCAGCACTCGGGAGGCTGAGGCAGGAGGATCGTTGCGAGTTCGAGGCCAGCCTGGGCTACAAAGTGAGCTCAAGGCCAGACTGAACTGCATAGTGAGACCCTGTCTCAAAAATACCAAAAACAAGGGGCTGGGGATTTAGCTCAGCGGCAAAGCGCCTGCCTGGCAAGTGCAAGGTCGTGAGTTCAGTTCCCGGTACCGGAGAAAAACCAAAACCAAAACCAAAACCAAAAACAAAAACAAAAACAAAACAAAACAACAAAACAATGACCTGGGTGCTTTGACCAGAGACCACATAAGCCGGGCCACAGAGCTGGGCCGGGGTGGCAGCAGGCCTGGCATCAGCTTCTGAACCTTGACCCTTATCCGGTGCCACTGTACCAGGTTCCTGTTACACAACGCAATGAACGAGGCCTTCTCATGCCACTGAGCGGACGTGGGACAGTCACACGCATCCCGTCCCTGGAGACCAGGGGCAGAGGATGCCAGGCCCTGGGCGCGTGATGCTGCCCACAGAACCCTGGCTTTGTCTCCAGCCTAACAGGGCAGGAAGCTCAGCTGGCAGAGTCGCTGCAGGGAAAGACCGACTCGAGCGTCCCACACGCCTGCGCAGTCAGAGTGCATCTCCTGTGACGCACAAGGTCGCTTTCCTGATGAGGACACGGGGCGGGGAGGGGAGAGTCCAGCCGCCACGAGGCCTCACCTGCAAAACAAGCCCTGGCTCCTGGAGAGCCATCGCCTCCCATGTCCTGTCCTTGTCCCTGTCCCTGTCCCGAGGCACGGTGCTCAACGAAAGAGGCCCACGCCATCCTGCTCCCTCCAGCCCGAGGAGACAGAACAGTTCATATTCCTGGCCACGGGAACGATGCCCAAAGCGAGCTGCGGTCCCTCCAACACACAGATATTTAAATTTGGCCAAGTTAAACAGCAGCACTGAGGGGGCGAGCTCAGGGTAAGCTCATTCTTAGCGTGTGCTAAGGCGCTGGGTTCGAGCCCCAGCACTGCAGGAAACAAGGAACAGGACTAGAGAAGCCTGAGCTGCTCCACCACCTGTGGGGACAGCGCGCCCAGATTTCTGGGAAAGTGGCTGCAGATGGTCCTCTGAAGCAGGAAGGGAGATAATGTGTAAGAGGAAAAATAACAAGGAAACAGGTTGCTTGAGGAAGCCCAGGGCCACCTCAGGCCGCACTTCAGGGAGTTCCCAGAACGTGTGCCAGGGAGCGTCTCCTGGAAGGCAGGGCACATCTGTGTCCCCGAGGAATGCAGGGCCTCGAAGCTTGTGTGACTGACAGTGGCCGGCCACAGGCTGGCGGTAAGGTGACGGAGCTGCACGCCGCTTGGATGCGCTCTCCGCAGGATGCAGGCCACCCCAGGTGTATTCTGGGGGCGCTGTGGGAGGCCAGGCCCAGGAGCAGGATCTTGGTGCGTGACAAAAGCAGGGGTCTCAGTGTGCTCAGGGACAGCCATCAGGACCCCCGGGCTCCACAGTCCAGGACGCCCACATCCCTGTGGTGTCAGGCAGAAGCTAGGCGGTCCTGCTGAGTGCCTCCCTGGACTATATCTGGTATGGAGCACAACTGTGCCGTGTGCACAGGGAACTAACAGCAGGGAATAACAAACTGCAGGGAATAGCAGCAGCAGCAACCTCCCTGCGTGCTCAGACAGACACAGTTCTCCCGACCGCCTGCGGTCTGAGCGTGGAACCCGCAGGCGCAGAGGCCAAGTGCACGCTGCCGTCACCGCGCGGAGCAGCACAAAGCCGCACACGCCCAGGAGTACAAAGTGGGACGACGGCTGGGGGCCGCATCCCACTGTCACGAGGACTGGAGGGGGACACAGAGCAGGCCAAGAGGACGACGAATGCTGAGGAGGCACCGCGCGCTGGGGGAGGATGGGCGTGGGAGCGCAGTCAGCCTGCTTGCAGGGCCCGCCACGGGCCACACTGTGGAGACACGCCTGGTACCCACCCTGCTAGTGGCTGAGCGAATACCTGGCCACCAGCACTCACTGTGTTCCAAGTCCTCGGGCACTCAGCAACAATCTAAAGTCGGAACTTAGGTTTGAGAGGCAGGAGGGTGGGGGATTTGCTTTTAGAGAACTCCACTCCTTACTGTGCCGGGCAGGACAGTGTCAAGTTCATACTGAAACAGCAGCTGTACAAAATCCTTGTTCCTCGTCGAGCGCAAGGCCTTCTACTTCTTCCTTCTATTTTCTTTCTGTGGTGCGGGGAATGAGTCCAGGTCTTGTGCAGGTGAAGCCGCACTGTACCATCCAGCCTGGGAAGAGGTTCTAAATCACGGCAGAAGAAGCTATTCCGGGAGAACTACAAGTTGTGTCAGCTTTATAACAACCTCAGGGCTTGCATGAGGAATCACAGACAGGACAGAAGGACACAGCATGCTTTGCCCACGCAATAATCACCCGGCCCTGTGTGACAGGCTCCACCCAGAACTCTGCTGGGACCCAGCAGCCTTCCTGGGACTGAGGCCTCAGCAGTTACTGTGGATGGACAAAGGAACAGCTGCTTGGGCTTTCTAATTATTTACAGGTACCTTATTATTACCGTTTTGTGGTGCTAGGGATGGAACCCAGGGAATCCTGTATACCCTAGGCAAGTGCTCTAGCACTAAGTTACACTCCTGCCCCACCAGCATCTATTTTTTTTTTTTACTAGGGATGGAATCCAGGGCCCTCACACTGAGCTATATCCCTAGTCTTTTTTTTTGCTTTGTGAGACAAGTTCTTGCTATGCTGTCATTCAGGCTGGCCTTGAATTCACCTATGTAGCCTAGGCAGGCCTTGAATCCACAGCGATCCTTTTGCCTCAGCCTCCCAGGTGCTGGGATTATAGGCCTGCATCACCACACCTGGCTCCCTAGTCCTTTATTAAATCTTTTTTAACTTTGAGACAGAGTCTGATTAAGTCACTAAGCTTCTCAACCTGGAGTCAAATTTATGATCTTCCTGCTTCAGCCTCCCAGAGTGTGTC